ATTATTATTATTATTATTATTATTATTATTATTATTATTATTATTATTATAAGCATTTTTTTTCTTATCCTCTAACCTCTCTGGGACGCCCCACGCACACTAATGAGAACTTTAATATTAAGATTATTTGTAATTATTTTAATTGCTGGAGTCGCAAATTCATTCCCACTGAGATTTTATTTACAGTGATTTTGACGCTCATTTGTACTGAGTTGTATTTAAAAAGATCCCCGGGGATGCTTAACTTTATTGACACACTGGGAACCATCTGTCGATCTTGGCTCACAGCGAAATCTGTTGACTCTGCGCTCTGGCACTAATTCGTCTGGAAACGGGGGCACATGATAAAAGGGTTCCCTTCTCCTGGATGCTTGATAAGAGCACAGCGATGCGCGCGGAGCCTTTCACAAGCAGCTCACCCCGGGCTCGTCTGCTTTTAACTTTCTCGCAGCAGTGACGTCTAGATTGCGCGGGGGATTAAAGATTAGGGTCTGGAACACGGGCAGTCATTGCATAATTAACTCCACGCAGAGGAATCGAGTTATTCCTCAGTCACACTGGATACACTCGACAAAGTGGCACAACGTGGGGGCGTTGTGGGGACGCTGTGCACCACCGCGGCGGCTCCGCGCAGGAGTCAGAAGCTGGATGGGAAGCCGGGCGGACGTTAGGCTGTAGCTCGGGGAAACCTGCCGTGAAACCATGCGTGGAAAAGGAGTTTTAGTTCGTGGGCAGCTTTAAAGGTGCGATAGTGTTTGTCTGGATTCCGGTCCTGTTCACGGAGGCAGCGATTTCACGGGAAACCGACCCTACCAGAGAGGTGACAGGCTGCTACACCCCAGCTCCGCAACTCCTCATTAAATGATCCTGACAGTGTCTAACCTCTGACATTACCCGGACATCTACACCTGGCCTGGCCACGCGGTTGTATTTTTTTCCTGGGTACAGTTCAGTCAACACCATCAGAAAACTGCGCTGCTGGGACTTTTTTCCACTCTCAGTAACAAGGATAAAATACTTCAGTGAAGTAACAAGAAGACATTTAGTTCCACACATGGAAATTATGTGAAAAATAAAAGGCCTGGAAATGCGTCGCAAATGCTTTTATCTGCTGGGGGTAAGTTCTGCGTCTTTTTGCGCCTCCGCTTCGTCTTCTCGCCTTTGGACATTTAATTAAAACGTCCTAATAACAGCTCGGGGAAATCTGTGCTGTTATCGCTGATTGCAGTTGAGCACAGTCTTGGTGTGAAGGCTTTAACACTATCCCCCCATCCAGATGTCGGGTTTGGATATTGTCTCTGTCTCAGATTGCTATTTTAAATCAATTTTCATTAAAGGGACGACAATCCGAGTTTGTCTGAACTAAAATGTTTTAACAAGGACAACAATCTCTCTCTCTCTCTCTTTTATGTGTAAATATATAGTTATAGCACTTTGCGTCCTATGACTTTAACTAAGCGCCGAAGCTTTGATGAAGCGTGCCGGTGCGTTTTTACTTGTAAACACTGAAACTTGAACCAGGACTTTGGGTTAAGGTGGCATGAGAAAAACGATCCCAATGGCACGATTCCATACCCTCTGAAACCGGAGCTCAAGCACTGGTGAAGAAAAGGGGCAAAAAGCGGATCTGGGACACATTTCTGAGATGAAACTGGGTGTTTTAATGCAGCAAGTGCACTCCTTTAATATCGAACAAGAAAAGCGAGCGCGGTGATGTTGAAATTTCTCCAGCCCCATAACGCTGAGATCTGATATCACTCATGCTGTGACCCCTTCGTAGCAAAATGGAGAGCGAGCTGAGGCAAGAATAGGGACATGTGATTTGTTGCACTCACTTGCTGATGTTGTAGATGCCCGAGGTGAATTATTTCATCCACCTCCTGCCCATTGTGCAAAGTGCTGCTGCACTAAGAATAGTCAAGAATCCCGTGAGCCCTTTTTTAAAATCCCCCTGCTTTCTATTCGCGTCCCCATTGTTGTGATTTAAGACCCCACACTCACAGCAGCTCGCGTACTGAATGTCTACTGAGGTCATAAAAGAACAAACACCGGACTGTGTGCAGCTTTAAGGTGCGTGGATTTCTGTGCTGGAAATTGGGCCATTTAACGGTGTGGAAAGTAAAAGTCATGCGTGCAACATTTTATACAGTTAAGGAGTGAAGTATTTGCGTAGTGGTGCCTTTGCACACTCACCTAAATCAGATTAATGTCTGCATTATTGCATTGTTTGCACTGAATTATAGATGGAGCCGATCACATTTAGATGCAAAGCTGGGTGGCTGTAACTTCTCTTAAAATCTATTTTAATATATGTCACCACTTTTAGATACCCATCTGAGTTTGAGTAGGAAGCTATTGGCAAGCACACCTTGAACAGGATGCCATCACAGAGCGATGTCACAAATCTACCCAACGCTCATGTGTTTGGACTGTGAGGAGTGTAGGGAGAACCAAAGACTGTATATAAAAGATGGGATGCATATTAAAGCTTCCTCATTAGCGTTTTGGCTGAAACTATGTATTCAGGTTTTTGGAAGCACGAGTTACCATATTTGAATAAAAGTATGGAGTGCTGATTCATCAGCTAATTCTGATGTAAACATGCGTTTAAATCAGTTAATGTTAAACATTTCCATATGGGAGTCTGTGAGGATTAGAGGAACTGCACATTAGGCACCAATTCCACTCAGTTTTTCTCCAGAGCAGGTTGTTGGTTGGGTAGAACCTACAAGCTTTCCACAGAAAATCAGCAGCCAATCAGGAGCTTCAAACCAGGTATCCTCTTACAGTTAAGGCTCTACTGAGCCGCCCTTCAGCAGGTGTAAGTTTCACAATGACAGATCTTTACTAAATAATTCAAAGTGATGACATAATTATGATGTCTTTATAAGTAGAATGAAAATAGCTATTTCACTGCTTTGTTTACTGTGTTTTGTCTCATTTGTGGATACTTACAAGTATCGAGAAATGGAGAGAGACCGAAGTTTGCGAAACACTGCATCACGTGAAATACAAACACGATCCAGAGATTTAAACGTTACGGTTATTGTAGGTACCTGTATGTGGCGACACCCTTATCACTGCGTGTTCTTCATAATAAAAACAATAGATTCCACATTATGCTGTGCCATTGTTCATATACACAAACAGTGTCTCCACCTGCTTTTATTTTGAATAGATTTTTATCATTCTCGTGCCAGAGCTGCCTCGTTCAGTCACGTTTGAGCGAGCAGCAGGAACGTTCGAGCAGAGTGACATTTCGCAGGTGAACCACACCTCAAACCTGCATCTGTTTTTTCCCGCTTCAGCATTTTTCCTCATGCTGGTTAATAAATCTCAGTCGAAAGCTGGTTTATGACTCTGCAGCAGATCCATGCCGGAGGACCCTTTAAAAGTGGAGACGGTTTTCAGCTGTAAACGCAGCCAAACTGATTCTCTAAATTAAAAGGAAAAGGATTAAAAACTGAATTAGAGTAAATACTGGAGGCATTGATCCGTCACTTTGTTGGCAAGAGCAACTGTGAATCATTCTGAATAGACTGTATGCCATAGCAGTAGATTGTTTTTATGTAGATACAATCTCAAATTTAAAAAAAAAGGGCAAGAGGACTGTAAGCTGTAAAAAAGAAAGACTTTATTATGCTCCGTATATGCATGAAAAGAAGCATTAAATGGCACATGGGACCCAGGAAAGTCTGGGATCAGCAGCTTTGTGCCCGTCCTCAGGCATCCATCCCGAGCGTGCCCACTTGGGAAGCCTCTTCCTCCACTGTTTTTATGCAGTGTCCTCATGTGATGTGGATCATGTGATTCAAACAAGAAGTGGAGATTTGTTTGTTTTATTTTTTTCTTTTGGGGTTTTTTTCAGTTCAGTATCTGATAGAGTAAAATAAATGCTTCTGAAACATCAGTACATCACTGGCGGTATACTCTTTCATGCATATGGTACTGAAATACTGCTTTTGGGATTTTGTCAATATGAAGCATGATTTCTAAGGTGAGACATGCACCTGTCCACAGTGAACCCTGCCTCTTGTTCTGTGGCAGCTGGGCTACAGGCAGGGTAGCCACCCATTTAATAGTAAAAATACTTAAAACAAGGAGGCTTTGTCATCTTTGTCATGATATAGTATCATCCTGATTCTGTATTAAGTTTATTACTTGTAAAGATGCATTTTATTGGCAAAAATAAAAAATAAAAAATTTAAACTGCAATTCCTCTAGTGACCACTTGAGGCACGGTCCAAAAGTGAGTCAGTCCCTATGGAAGTTTTCCATGTGACATCATACAGACATTGCTCAGGAGTTGTCTACCATGTTAGATGTGATATAGTTGCATATAGCCACCACTGATGGGGAAAAAGGTATATTTTTGGTTGCAAACCGGGGGCTTCTTGTTTATGATTGCTGGAGGATTGTAGTGGTTCCCTGTAGTTTGCATAGAAGATGCCAACTTGCCTGCAAAGGCGCGCTGCACACCAGTACCCAAGCTGCAAAAAGAAAACAAAAAAACTGACAAAAGCAGCACAAACTGCAAACAGACAATGTTCAAGTTCAAAGGTCCAACTTTATTGTAAGGGAAACAGACCAGAGGTTACCAGAGGGTCACTGTCCGTCTCCAAGCCTGTGCAGATGAGTGCTGAATAATCAATTTCCCAGCAATTCCCCAAAGTCCAGCAGCAACTCATCAGCTGGTCAGGGAATACACATTTTTCCCGCTTGACTGGTGGCTGCCTTTGGCCTTTGTGGCATCATGTCTGCTAATTTCAGTCACTGAAATTGACCTCGTGACTAAGTTTTGTGGTTTTGGAGACTTTTTAAAATTATGAAATAACAAATTATTATTGTTCTAATAATAACGCTTCCTGTGAGGTAAACAACAAGTCTGTGCTCCAGTTTTGGTTTTACTCGTCTGTTGCACCTGCACAGTTTATAGATGCATAAACAGCATCCAACCCACAGTGGAAATATGGCCACTTCTGAATGCAAAAAACAAAGTGATGTTGATCCCAGATGACAAATCAAGGCTTTAAATCAGTCAGTGACTGAACCGTCTTCTGTAGCGCCCTCTGTGTGTCAAAGCTGGCATTACTTTGCATGTCTTTCTCATTAATGCCTAAGGACTACTGCTTAGTGTTCACCTTTTCCTCTTTTAGTTCCGTGTTTGTCTTTGATGTTTCTTGTGCCATACTTATTGTCACTTCCTGTTTTATTTTGGAAAGTTTTTTATGTGTTGGTCTTCCTGTCTTTGTCTTTTTTCCCCACGTTTTATGATTGTTTTCTCCACACTTGCTTGTTTCACCTTTGTCAAGTTATTCCTGTGTATTAGTTGGTAGTCCTGCTTCTTTTCTGCCCACTCTTATT